GTAATTTGATGGGCCAATTTTGTGGCCCTAAAGCTAGCAAAATGCCATTCACCCTACTTTGATTAAATTTAAGAACTGCAGACAGTGATAAAACTTGGGGTGGTACTCAGGTGACTCACAGTTATAGAAATGAGCACTGTATAGTCTTTTTAAAATTTTTAAATAGATTTAGGGGGTACAAGTTAAATTCCATTCCATGTTTACATTGTATAGAGGTGAAGTCTGGGTTTTTAGCATACCTATCACCTGAATAGTGTACTTGGTCCCTCTTAGGGAATTTTTTATTCCTTCCCCCCTCCCCCTCCCCCATTTGAGTCCATTGTACCACCCTGCGTGCTCTTGTATAGTCATAGTTTAGGTCCCGCTTATAAGTGAGATGCATAGTCTTGACGTCAACGTAGGCCTAGAAAGTGGGATGTTCTGCTATTTTACTAGACTGATTCTAACATCACATTGATGTAAATGAGATTTAAATAATGTTGAAACTTCTTAAAAATAGAATAGATAGAAATGTTTTTGTTTACTTTTTTTAAAGATGAATTTTATCTATAGTAAATTTTCATAAGGGGCTGTCCCTGAGTATAATTTCCACCTATTTTTTTTCTTGGTTTTTGACATGGACTGCTTGAGAACTAGCCAATGATACAAAGTTGTGTAAATTGTGATTAATTTTAATTCAGGGATTTTTTAAATGTAGGGTCTATAATGCTAGCTATAAAACAATAATTAATGATCTTTTAAAGTTTCACTTGCTTACTTTTTAGAATTATTCTCTTGGGTCAAAATGTGATTCTGTAAATTATCCTGAGTTACCAGGAATTGGGATTCCAGATATATAGGTGTCAGTTGTCTCGAGGGATTTATCTAGGAATAGAATTAGGGAATTTTATTTTGTTCTAGAAGTGTTGGGTGGGAGATTAATTTGGGAGGAAAGAGCCATTTGACCTCCCTTTCTCTTGTTTATCCTTTCTAATCCTCAATTGAAAAACACTAGTAAAAATAAATAAACATTTAAGAAATTGAGTGTATTCTAGGAAAAAACCTCAAATATCAAATATTATGCAATAGTCTTTGTCTTTACTAAATGATGATTAAATGGTGCCTACTCACAAATGACTAGGGCCACTATGTGCCTAAGAGCAGCTGGGGTACCTGGTCCTGTGGTTTGAGTATGGTTTGAGTATGGTTTGTCTCTACCAAAACTCATGTTAAAATTTGATCCCCGGCCCGGCACGGTGGCTCACGCCTGTAATCCTAGCACTCTGGGAGGCCGAGGTGGGAGGATTGCTCGAGGTCAGGAGTTCAAAACCAGCCTGAGCAAGAGTGAGACCCCATCTCTACTATAAACAGAAAGAAATTAATTGGCCAACTAATATACATAGAAAAAATTAGCCGGGCATGGTGGCACATGCCTGTAGTCCCAGCTATTCGGGAGGCTAAGGCAGGAGGATTGCTTGAGCCCAGGAGTTTGAGGTTGCTGTGAGCTAGGCTGAAGCCACGGCACTCACTCAAGCCTGGGCAACAAAGCGAGACTCTGTCTCGGAAAAAAAAAAAAAAAAATTTGATCCCCAGTGAGGTGGTGTTGGGCCTAGTGGGATGTGTTTGGGTTATGGAGGTGGATTCTTTATGAATGGCTTGGTGCTGTTCTTGAGGTTGTGAGTGGGTTCTCACCCCCATGAGATTGGATTGGATCTTGTGGGAATAGATTAATTCCCTTGGGAGTGGGTTGTTATAAACCAGGACATCCTTCAAGTTTTCCCACTTCCATGTGTCTGCTTCCCCTTTGACCTTCTCCACCATGTTGTGATGCAGCACGAAAGTCCTTGCCAAAACCCAGGGCCACACCCTTGAACTTCTCAGCCTGCAGAACTGTGAGCTAAATAAACCTCTTTTTTTTCCATAAATTACCCAGTCTCAGATATTCTCTTATTTACAGCAACACAACCTAACACCTGGCTAGGGAATTCTTGGGTGTTTACCCTTCAACTGCATTAAGTGTCTCAGGTGGCTCAGTCCAAAGGTCTGTGTCTCACATTGTGTCCTCCCAGGCCTTGCCTACTGTCTTTTTTTTTCATGATTCTTTTTTTTTACTTCAGAATGTTACCGGGGTACAAATGTTTAGGTTACATATGTTGCCCTTGCTCCATCTGAGTCGTAGTTTTAAGCATATCCATCCCCCAGATGGTGTGCACCACCCCCCATTAGATGTAAATATACCCCTCCCCCCCACCTGCCTGGCACCTGATGTTACTACATGTGCACATAAGTGTTGTTCAATTAATACCAATTTGATGGTGAGTGCGTGTGGTGCTTGTTTATCCATTCTTGGGATACTTCACTTAGCAGAATGGGCTCCAGCTCTATCCAGGATAATACCAGAGGTGCTAGATCATCACTGTCTTAAACATTGAAATAAATCCATAAATTATGATTGATTTCTTTGCCCCCTCCCCCCACTCACACACCTATTTATCTCTCCATATTTTTCTCCAAATACAGTCATCTCTTGGTAGCCACAGGGGACTGGTTCCAAGAACATGCCCCTCCCCCCCACCCCCTGCAAATACCCAAATCCACAGACGCTCAAGTCTTTTATATAAAATGGCATAGTACTTGCATGTAACCTATGAACAACCTCCTGTATACTTCAAATCATCTTTTTTTTTTTTTGTATTTCAGCATATTATGGGAATACAAATGTTTAGGTTACTCGTGTTGCCTTTCCCTCCCTTCCCCCGCCCCTGGAGTCAGAGCTTCAAGGGTGTCCATCCCCTCAAATCATCTTTATATTACTTATAATACCTAATATGATATAAATGCTATGTGGATAGTTGTTCCGTGTTGCCATATTGTTTATCTGTATTATTTTTATTGTTGCCTTATTATTTATTTTTCTGACTCTTTTTGACCCAAAGTTGGTTGAATCCATAGATACAGAACTTCTGGATAAGCAGTCAAGGGTGGGGATTGGGTGTTTATTTAATTACTCTGGTAAAATATTAGGTGTTTTGGGTAATAAATTAGTTTTTAAGTATTTTATAGATTATGTACCAAATATTCTCCCATTATGCTGTGCACGTTCTTTATCTTTATAAATTCAAAACCATTCATCTTAGTTTAGATGATGATTGATTATTTTGTTTCCCCTCCCCACACCAATAAGTTCTTTCTTCTTGTAGACCTTGATTTATCTCAAATTCATTAGTGTAGTTTTTGAGGTGTGTCTGGATCAAAAGTAATTCTTCTCCACACAAATATTTAGCTGCTTTTATATGTTTTTAAAAGTTATTTATTTTCCCATTGTTGAGAAATAAACATTTTTAATTTTTGAATAATTTATTCAAAAAGGCAACTGAGAGCTCTAATCAGTGGAACAGGGGCCTCCATCAAGATTGGCCAAAGAATGTACATTTATGTGTTTGATGTTAACATAGTGTGGTCTTTAAACAGATGTTCTGATTAATTACTGGTGTCCACTCCACTGGATAGGAGGGGTTCTTTATACGGAGAACCCCTTTCATAAAAGTTTTCAAAAAAATATTCCTATTGCTGTGTAAATAAGTTTAATGTTCTGGACTAGCCTTGGGATCCAGCTATGTAACTTAATTTAATATAACCTTGAGGCTCAGTACCATTTTTTAAGTTTTATTTAATCACATGGATTATGGAGAAAAGTGGGGGTGTGGAGGAGGAGGAGTCTGGGTGTAACAGAACAGGGATGAATAGGACATTTCAATTTTCTTTCAAAGTGATTTAATGAATCACTTTGATACCACATTGTTTAAATTATAAGTAACACCCCCCCCCCAAGCAACCATTTGATAGCTGAGTGGCTCTTGGCTGAGCACCCTCACTCCCAATTTTTTCAACCCCACCCACCACCCTGCAAAACACTGGAGTCTGTGAACTCTGTTACATGGACAGCTATTCAGGGTATCTTGCTTCTGAGGGGAGACAGCTTTTAAGTTGTGTGTTTTCATCATTAGCCTTAGATCTTTCCTTTTAATCATCATCTTCCCAATGAACCACTATGTTTATGTAATTACCATGTCACATGAAACCTTTGAAATTAGAACACTAAGAGTCCCTTTTTCAGATTTTCTATGGGCAACCTATTATTCTTTAACTCTGATTAAAGTCATTATGTTTTAAAATCTGCTAGGATGAGAGCTTCATGAATCCTATTTGCCACTTTTTCCTTAGATGAATTTCACTATCTCACAGATGATATGTTAGTGTTAATTGGTATAAAAATAAATATGCATGTTACTTCCCCACACATCTCTACTGCATTTGATATGTCTTCCTCTATGTCCTCATTAATACTTTATAATTTTCTATTAATAAATCTCAAGTATTTCAAGTAAAATTGATATTAAAGTTTGCCCTATTATGTCACTAGAGTTGCTATTAATTGTGTGGCTTTATTTTATATGTTAAATTTTATAGCTGGAATAATTGGTTGATTACATGGAGTTTTCTGGGTGTGTAATTGATACTGAGTTGTGTGATTGATATATTCTTTTTTCTATTTTTTATATATTTTTCTTTTTTTTATTTTTTATCTTTGTGTCCTATAGTTTACCTTTTGATGATTGATATATTCTTTATACCACCAACCCCCATCCCAAACTCAACCCCACCCCACCCTCTCCCCAGGCCCATACATCCCCACTACCCCATCCTCCCCATCCCCCTCTTCCCAGGCCCACACCTCCCCGCTACCCCACCCTCTCCACCCCCTCTTCCCAGGATCCCATCTCTCTACTACCCCCACCTTCTCCACCCCTTCTTCCCAGGCCCCCACCTCCCCACCCCCTCTTCCAAGACCCCCACCCCCCCACTACCCCATCCTCCCCCTCTTCTGAAGCCTCCACCTCCCCAATCCCCTCTTCTGAGACCCCCACCCCCCCCCCTCCCCTTCTTCTGAAGCCCCCACCTTCCCAATCCCCCACCCCATTCCCTTGATGATGGTGGACGCTGAAATGATCAGGACATGGTTTGCACTTAACCACTAAATCTTTATTGAATTTTTATTATAATAGCAATACAATATTAGTAAATAGAGAGAAATACAGAGTAAAGAGAATACAGCAATATAGTTTGAAGAAGGGGTGGGGTAGGGAGTGGCAGGGGTAAGGAGAGGAGGCGGGGAGGGGGAGGGGTTCTGGCAGGGGTGTTTATTCATCACTTTCCTAAAACTTCCATGAATATTTACCATCCATGATGATCAATTACATTCCAGATGTCTATCCATCAATCTAGGGGCTCTATTAAATTATTAATCCAATCACCTTTGAACTTTCTCCCACTAGGGTTTTATCCATGTCCAATTCACTCTAAATAGATTGTTCTCCCTGCAGTTCCCCCCATGTTTATTTGGAATCTTTAAGGGAAGCAGTTACAGGATAAAAGGTCATAAGTAAGTACACATGTCCACTTATAGAGATAGCTAATACATAATATCATTCTAACTTTCTAAATAACCCACCCACTTAAGATTAATAGTCCCTCCCACCCCAAAATATTTATGATTACATATATCCCCTATTACTTAAAGTGATTACATAAAGAAATAAAAACAATGCGATTTTCCACAGACCAATTCAACAGCATTCTACAATCTGAAACAACAAAGAACTTTCAGTCCCATCAAATAAGTGTTCTCTCTTTAGATGAAAATGTAGCATGATTCCCTCTGGGCTCTTCATTTCTGTAGGTGGTCCTTCATTTCACCCAGGTCTTTTTCCAGCGGGGTATTCTCTGTTGTCAATCTTGCAACTGCATCTGATATGAGATGTCTGTGGTGGATGACAACTGGATCAATTCAGGAGTCCAAGAGGTACCTGCAAACTCAAACAGAATTCCAAACTGCACCATATAGATGTGCCCCTCTTATTTTGTGCACCTATAAGTTACCTGTAATACTTCACATGATTTAATCAAACTAATTCTCCTTTTTCCAGCATCTAAGACAAATACCTCATTGTTCATACTAAATTGACCCTTCTGAAATGTATGTGAACTTTCTGTTTCAATATCCTAACATAATGACTTTAGCCAGTTCTCTCTTGCCTAACAATAGGAGCTCTTAGATGTTCATCTTACTTAATTAACAATGCAAATTTTGGCCAAAATCAATTAAGTAATCTTGTCAGTTTGTTTCAAGCTCCCTTTCTAACTCTTCAGACATCAAATTCCCTTGCTTTTTCCTTTCTTATGAATCAAGGCATTTCTGGTGGAAAACGCCACAAAAATTTTAAAGGATTCAATTAAAAGTTTGATCAACAGCATTGAAATAAATCAATTAAAGTGAAAGGAAACTTAGCCAAAGGAAACTTAGCAAAGGAAACTTAGTCAAAGGAAACTTAGCTAAAGGAAACTTAGCCAAAGGAAACTTAGCCAAACTTTAATACTATAGAATAATATATTTAAAATTACTTATCCTTAACATCTAACATTTATAGATAGCACATATAGCAATAGAGCATAGCACACACTGCCAAAAAGTTAATCACAAGCTTCAGTAACAGTCAATGTGTCAGGGACTTTGTGAGTTGTTAACCCACATCAGCATGCTCTCCCTGACTGTTCCTGTCGTTGGCCAACTGCTCCAGACTTTTGCTTGCAGTGCTGGCAAATGTCCGTGTGCCCATGCGGGGGCTGCAGATCATGCCCATTTCTAGGCACTCTGCAGCTTGAAGATCAACTGACAACCATAAATTCAAATGTATGGAGGATGAATTGATATGAGGTAAACTGAAATGACGCTTCAAAATAGTCCAGAAGCACAAATGCACCATTTTAAAATTACTCAAAAACATGAGTGATTGACAAGCTTTCTGATTCCATTGAAGAAAAAGTGTTGTTTTGTATTAAATTGATAGCCAATTAGGTTTCTTCTTTGAAATTATCATTTTGTGTAATTTTAAAGGCCCAATTGATCGAAGTAAAATTATGTGATGTCCAAATTGAAGGTGAATAGGATAAACTTTACAAATACTCCAGTTCTGAAGAGCATCTCATTCACAGTCTTGTAAGAAGTTCACAGTAGAGAAGTATCTTACACTATCACTTTTACTTAGTTTAACAATAAGAATTTGTAATTCAATGGAAATTTTTGAAAGCATAGTCATCACTTTAAAACACTGTTAAAGGACACTACCACAGCTAAAAGTTTTAAAGTATTTAAACATGCAAGAATAAGAGTGGGTGATAAAGAGTATGTGAAAGATGATGCTGATGAAAAATGAAACTTCACCATCAGACTCCTCTTCATGACAGACAATCTGAAATAAAACCATGTTGTTTTCTACTGCTCAAACCATGTTTTGGCAATTGAAGCCTGCCTCTCGTCTCCGTGCATGGCAGCAAAAATGGAGTCTCAGCAATCAGGCAGGAAGATGACACACATCCTGCAGCAGGGTTAATGGCAGTAGTAAAGAATTAAAAGAAAGAGAGAGGTTAGACAGACAGTTCAAGGTAGTAGCAAGGGACTAGGTGAAAGGAAGTCAGGCAGTCCCAGGTTAGCACAAAGCGTCCAGGAGACACCAGACGTGTCACTGGACTGAAGACAACTCTTGTGTTGAGTCATCCCATTCTTCTGAAGTGGTTACCATCAGGCCATCCCACTGAATGCGCTGGCGAAGGAAACCTGTATCCTCAAGGCAGTGTCCAGTGCTCTGATTCCTCTTCAGGCCTGAGGTGTTTCGTGTCAGCTTCTTTTTGCCTGCTTCTGGGAGAACTAGTCGAGTTGCTGCTCCTTGAGAGTTAAGGGAACCATGCAAATGGAGTTTGAAGATGGTGAAGTTTTAAGGGTGCAGCAAGAAGATCACGGAAGCCTTTCCACACTGCACCAGTACTGTGGCTTCCTTTGTAAGGCTTCGGTCCTCCAGTGAGGGTACCGAAGCTGCAAGAAAAGTCATGTCCTCCTCCTCTTTTTCTCCCCCTCCATAAAGAAATCAGCATTTCCTGTGTTTGCATCAGCTTCTCTGTAAATGTTAAACGAGGAATTTGGCAGCCTATAATTTACCTGGTGACAGAGCTTTCAAGCTTCCAGGATTGGCAGGCTGGAAAGTAAACTTGATAATTGTTGGTGAATCTGATGTGTGCCAGTCCAGGGTGGCCCTGAAGATTCAGCAGCCTAACTGAGCACACAGTCACTGATTGAGAAGCTGAACAGGAATCAATTGTGAGGGCAGAGATCCTGAAGGACATGACAGGCATTCACATGGTACTGTAGGACGGAGGTGGGGGCGGCGGCGGCGGCGGCGGCGGCGGCTGCGGCGGCGGGTACTGTGGCACCGGAGGCTGGCGGTACCAGTGTGGATTCCAAGTGATCATGACAGGTACGTAGAGAGATCTTCCTTGTCCATCTCGTCCCACTGGGTACCAGGCGAATCCCACTGGGTAGGTCGGGTACGTGGTGTACGCAGGATATGTTTGGTATCCAGGTACTTGAGGTACAAATTCAGTGTAAGTTGCCAGGTGAGCTTGGTCTTCTAAGTTTGGAATAGATAGACGAGGATACTGATTCTGGATAGTGAAATTGTTTGGAGCTCTGCAATCGTAGGAAACTTGCAGTTTCCACCCCCTCTTCACCTGGAGAACTTGTGCTCCATTAGGTGCAATCGTTGGAGTAATGAGGCCATCTTTTACATTTCTTGCCACGAAATCTCGGAGAGCTGCCATTTCGGGTTCAGACAGTGAGTACACATGTCCACTTGGAATACTGTGTGCTCCAGGTATCATCTCGATGTTAGGGTCAACCAGACGGTGATCTGGGTAGACATGCTCATCTACTGGAGTGTACACATTCTGGACGTAGTAATACCTCACTGGTTGGTAAACTCTGTATCCGTCTACTGGATAGTAAAGTGACGGCTGTGGTGATGGAGGCAGGGAAGGAGGTATTGGAGAATACATCTGGCAGTGGTAACGGCAATATTCGGAATCAAAGACGATAGATCGAGTGCTCCATGTGATGTTGGGGTCATGTGTGCTCAGCCAGCGAACCCCTAGGACGATGGGGAAGAACGGAGACTGGGTCACATCAAATGAGATCACCTCACGGTGGTCTGCCAGGTCAACTATCAGGTCGTGGGTTTCGTGGACAACTGGGCCCGACGCTATGGGGCGCCCGTCAATTGCTTCCACGAGTATTGGCCAGTCCTTGACTCTTATAGGAATTCCATTTTGAGCGACGTATTCGTGATCAATGAAGTTGCCAGAAGCACCAGAATCAATCATGGCTCGGACGAACAGGGTGTGTCTGCCAGGAAGATGAATCTGGAGCATCACTTGCAAGTGCGGAGAAGAGACAGCATCATCTTGTGGGGACCTTATTATTTCTGGCCCGGTCGCTGAAGGTCCCTCTACAGCGGGGCCGGGGAGTTTCCCGCCTGCGAAGATTTTGAGGCCTTGGCAGGACAGTTGTCGGCGTAGTGACCTCCATTTCCGCAGTAGAGGCACAGGTTCAGCTTTCGGCGTCTTTCTTTCTCTTCCTGGGTCAGGCGCATGCGGGCTCCTCCCACGGGCTCAGTGGGGTCGACCTGGGGGTGGCTTGGCTGCTGCTGGGGCTGCTGGGCCTGCTGCTGGGCCTGCTGCTGAGCCTGCTGCTGGGCCTGCTGCTGAGCCTGCTGCTGGGCCTGCTGCTGGGCCTGCTGCTGGGCCTGCTGCTGGGCCTGCTGCTGAGCCTGCTGCTGGGCCTGCTGCTGGGCCTGCTGCTGGGCCTGCTGCTGGGCCTGCTGCTGGGCCGCAGTGGCCCGGGGCGGGGAGCGTGGCTTGCGAGCGGCGGCGGCGGCGGCAGCGGCGGCGGCGGCGGCGGCCCTGGCCAGCCTTCTCTCAAGGTGGATGCACAGGCCGATCACGCCGCACAGCGTGTTGGGGACCTCGACTTGGGTCAGCTCCTCCTGAATGCGGTCGTTGAGGCCCTCGTGGAACTGGTCAATCAGAGCAGGCTCGTTCCAATCCAGGTCCTGGGCAATCATCTGGAAAGCGTTGGCGTAGTCGACGACGGATCCCATGCCTTGGCGCAGACGTCGGATCTTGCGTTTGGCAACCTCTCGCCTCTGGGGGTCTTCAAAGACGTGCTTCATCTCCATCATGAAGGCTGGGTAGTTGTGCATCAGGTAGTGGGATCGCTCCAGCTTGGCTGAGGCCCAGCGGGCAGCACGGCCGGTCATCATGCTTGTCACGAAGCAGACACGGACACGGTCAACTGAGAAATCTCTAGTACTCTTCTCCATGAAGATCTGGCACTGGGTCATGAAAGGAGCGAGCATGTCTGGGTTGCCGTCGAACTTCTCAGGAAGGTCTTCTGGGCTCTCTTCCTCAATCGGAGGGGGTGGGGGGGCAGCAGCTGCAGCTCCCTGGAGCTCAAGGTCATCATCTTCTTCCTCAGGGATGGGCGCTTCTTCCTCCACTTGCTCGCGAAGGGTGCTGTTCTCCTCTGTGAGCTTCTGCACCTGGCTCTGCAGGTTGTTGTTTTCCTCGGACTGCCTGATGACCTTGTCTCTTAAGTTGTTGATCTCCTCAGAGAGCTCATCCCTCCTGCGTTCGGTCATGTTGGGCATGCAGGAGCTGTTATGGCCGCAGGGCTTGTTGTTGTTGTTGTTGTGGGGGGGAGGGGGAGGAGGAGGAGGAGGGCAGTCGGCGGGACCCATGGTGGTGATGATCGGGGTGGGAGGAGACCTCCCAGCTGCAACTTCACTTCTTTGGGGGTGGAGGCCTGGATCCTGGCCCCCTCTTCCACCCCTTCTTCTCTTTGTTCTCAAAACCCGCTTATTTCTGCAAATGAAGATAAATACATACATTCAATAAATCCATTCAAAGCAGCACAATGCAGACAAAAATGATTTAATATTTAAATCATCTCTCCTTGCTCTACTTGCTTACATTAATAATTAGTGAACAAAGTAAACAAACTTTGAAGAGAAAGAAGTTATCAATCAGGACACTAGTTAACAAAACGCACACTACTTTTTGATATCCAAAATGACCTTTCCTTCTCAAAATTCACCTGTTCATTAAGATTCAACAACACATAAACTTTATCAATAGTATGCTTACCTTTACAGACTATAAAAGAATGTTGAGACCCTCCACACAAATAGTTTTGTACCCAAAGAACAAAGCAAGAAACTTTCAAGGCAAACATGGATACCAAATAAATTATGCAAATTAAAGCCAACATAATTACCTGTTATCAGAGAAGTTAGGTAAAAAATAGCCAATATTCAGACCAATAGGGAACCACATAAAAATATTGAAATCACAATGCCTGTATTCAACAGCCCTGGGGAGGGGACACCCCAGCCAACTACCATGACCCTTGTCCACCTCTACAGAGAGGATAACTGATTAACAAATCAAAACAACCACTACCACCACAAAAGCCACAAGACTATCTAAATTACTTTTCTGACCATAACACTTAACAGCAATACTGTTTCCTCCTCATTATGTAGTCATTCAGGAAATATTAATTGATACTCCTTAGGAAGGGCTAGGCTACATACAGGACATTCAAAGAAGCCCAATAATAGTATACCTCAAACTTATGAGGATTTAATTAAATAATGCAGGTAAATAATATAGTATCTAATAACTGTTAGCTAATATTAATAAAGTTATTAATCAGAAAATAGAAAGGTAACTTTCTGTGTAAAGAGACTGGGATTAAAACAGGGAGGGGCTGCAACTATAGCAACGTGGGCATAAAGATGTATATAGCATACATTATATATACATATATTTAAAAAATACTGTGTTGGTCAAACAAATCTAGGACCTTATTTTGTCCTGCAGGTCACTAGTTTGCAATCCCTATTTTTAAATCAATACTGGTCAGCACAGCCCCAACCAAAGGTTTGTAATGTTAAAATGGGACAGGGCTGTACTCCTAGGAGTGAGTGACGTATATGTGTGTGTGGGGGGGGTAGGGGGGGGGGAAGGGGCAATGGGGGGGAGGGAGTAGTTAATTGTTCTTAGTATGAGTGTGATGACAATAAATCACACATAAAAAATCGTGACACAGTGTCTGTCTGTGTACTTCCTGAAAATAGGGTTAAGTGCATTTAGAGTGATTTAATTATTTTAAATAATCTCAAATCCCTAATCCTATATTTAGAAAATTTACATATATTAAAACTTCAAAAAAGTTCAAAAAACTTTTTAATTTAAAATATTAAAATACTTTAAAGTTTAAAAACATAAATATAAAAGTTAGGTTACAAAGTTTTAAAACTTTTTAGGTTACAAAGTTTTAAAACTTTTTAGGTTACAAAGTTTTAAAACTTTTTAGGTTACAAAGTTTTAAAAACTTTTTAGGTTATAAAGTTTTAAAACTTTTTAGGTTACAAAGTTTTAAAAACTTTTAAATAAACAAAAGTTTTAAAATATAACTGATGCCTGTATTCATCAGCCCAGGCCCTGAGGGGTAGAGAAATACTCCTTTCTCACCCATTCCTAACACCTCCTCCTCCCCCCCCAATTATTTAGGCCCTTGCCCCGCCCCCAAACCCACCACCCACAGCCACTTTCCCTATGTCCTGTGTTGCTGGTGGTCTCTCCAAGGACTGGCTATATACACACACAGCAAACAGGGTCCTGAAGGGACAGGGATTAGTGTACTATTTTAATAGTTATAACTCTGCTACTTAATTACTTTAGTAACTTAGGCTACAAAAGACATTCAAGATAAAATATGCAAGTTTAGAAAAAATTAGAAGACACAATAAACACATTATAACCTGTGACATTTGGTCTCATTTCCAAATCCTTAAACCAATATGATTGTATTGGTGACCCTTATGACATAAGGTCACAATCTTTAATTATTAAATTAAGAGTTTTAATGTCCCATTAAAAAAGAACTGATAAAGGTCAGGTGACTAAGGCACCATTTTTTTGTCATCTGGACATTAATACTTTCAAAACATACAGACAAAACTTTCTAAAGGGCATTCATGGCATTGCTTGGTATAGCCTGACCCAGGTCAGGAAGGTTAACAACCTACATGTCAATCACACCTAGTGAGGTAGGCTCTGTTAAAGCCCAAGTCTGATGGTTTTAATATCTGCAAAAAATAATGACAGGACAGAAATAATACCTTAGGAAGTCAGTAAACAATTACTATATTGTTAGGGAAACAAAAGGTCAATAAGAGTTAAAAATTCAAATGCTTTTGGTATACAGGAAAGCAATTTAAAAATGAGAAGGGACCAGACTTAAGATAATGGGGAGGGGCTGCAATTATGCAACTTGGGGATGCATGCCCCACCCCAGTCCCAAGACACTCAGGTCTATTTTTTAATACAGTGCTGGTCAAACAAATTCAAGGCCTACTTTATCCTGCAAGGTCACCAGTTTAAGACCTATGACCTTTACCAATAATAGGCCTTAGGCCTTCACTGAGGTTGGATGGGGTAGGGGGTGGGCTAGGGGGTGGAGTTTGCAATTTTGTGGTGGGACTCTAAGTTCTAAAAGAGATAACTGCCCAGGGCAGAGCAGTTTATCTATTAAAAGTAATAAGGTAGTGGGCAGGGAGGTTAACAGTGAGTGTAAGTAAAGCATAAATATGCTTAAACAGTAATTGGGGAAGCATAAATTAATCTGGAGGAAGGAGCATTTAATTTAATTTAATTTATAGAACTATGACTCCTTAAACTACCCCTTAGTAGGGGCTGGATTGGAGAGGTGGGGTCAAGAGGTCCTATGCCTGAAAACTGAAAGAACACATTTCATAAAGCCAAGCTGCCTGGGACAAATGCCATCTTTAAATGGTAATGATTTCAATTTTAGTCTACTTAAGAATTAAATACATTTGATTAATTATTGACTCTTCACAATGACTTCTAAAAATTTCTATTCCCCAGACACACCAAAGAGCAATAATAGCCAAAAAACATACATAAACGTCCCATTAGGAAATGACACTTCATTAAGCAACTCTTAGTTGTTTTGCATTTTCAAATGTTGTCCAAATTTGAGTAATATTATGTACTATTTATAAAATGCAAATTCTATTAATATGCACATGTTTTTACTATTGTTTTGAACCTTGTTAATATGCAGATGCACAATTTTCAAAGAGGAAGGAAAGCTGTAATTATGTTAAACACACATTTTTCCATAGATTGTATAGTTGTTAGGGATTGGGTGGGGGGAAGGTGACAGATTGGTGGGAGCCAAAGTTCCCAATTTCCCCTTTAACAAAGTCCTGGCTCATGGTTTGTAATATATAGAACCAGGTTTTAAAATGTCTTTATTCAGTTAGAATCATAATGTTTACATGGTACATCTGACTGGCAGTTATGATTTTTTTTACTCATGTTTAATTATGCCAGCTGAAACAATTTATATTTTGTAATGTAACCACTTTATGTTACAGTATACAAATTTTAAATAATACCAATATGTACCATTAATAATCCACTTGCCCAAAATTTAAATAATTAGCTTTTTATGAAAAAAGCTAATTATTTGGATAATTAGCTTTTTATGAAAAAAGCTAATTATTTGGAAAATTAGCTTTTTATGAAAAAAGCTAATTATTTGGATAATTAGCTTTTTATGAAAAAAGCTAATTATTTGGAATAATTTAAATTAATTTAGTTGTTTTATAATTACAGCTTATATTACTGGAATTTAAAAATACATTTTTTTAAAAAGATACTAGTAAATATGTGAGAGATAAGGTGAGCAAGGCAACCCAGGACAGCAAAGCACCATAGGAAATAGCAAGAAACCAGAAAAGACCTGCAGACTCCAAATAAACCAATTTACTTTGGTTATTTAACATATTTAATGAATGCCCACAATGTGCCAGGTATACTTTATTATATGTAGGCAAGTTAGCCAGGGCTAATCCCCTTGAGTTCCAAGAAAAAAAATCCAGCTTCAGAGGCACACAAATAAAAACCTCATCCTCACTCAGAGGCCAAGCCAGCAGCACCTATAGGTCACTTAAAACTCCAAGCTCAGGTTGTTCCTTATTTTGTATCCACCAAAGCATCTGATTCCAGTAAGTCCACTAGTGTCTGAAAAAAACTTGAATTTGAAATTATAAAAGTTTTATTTTTCATTTGCAGTAAAGACATTTGGCTAAATTGCCTTTAGAGGCACTTGCCATGTCAGGTTATAAGTTCCCTTCATAACCCACTACCAGTTTAAAGTGTGGGATTGTTACTTAATATATGCAAAGCACTTATTAAAAGTGCTCACGAATACCAGGTATAATAATTATTGTTGTTAATTGTTCTTATTATTTATTAGATACTAGTGAACAAAAAGCAAAACCAGCACAGCAGAGAAACCGCAGGTGGGTGGGGCTGAGCAGCCAGGCTCAGGCAAGGAAGGCGCGCAAGCGCAGAGGAGATGGATCTGATGGGAGGGGCTGGCGCTCGCACTGCGCCAGGCTCTGAGGGAGGCGGGGCTATAGGCCAGCCCAGACAAGGCAGGCCAAGGAGAGGCGGGGTCTGGGCTAGGCTACCTCAGAGGAGGCGGGCCAGGGAGAGGCGGGGTCTGGGCAGGCCACCTCAGAGGAGGCGGGCCAGGGAGAGGCGGGGTCTGGCAGGCACCTCAGAGGAGGCGGCCGGGAGAGGCGGGGTCTGGGCAGGCCACCTCAGAGGAGGCGGGCCAGGAGAGCGGGGTCTGGGCAGGCACCTCAGAGGAGGCGGGCCAGTGAGGGGCGGGGTCTGGGCAGGCCACCTCAGAGGAGGCGGGCCAGGGAGAGGCGGGGTCTGGGCAGGCCACCTCAGAGGAGGCGGGCCAGGGAGAGGCGGGGTCTGGGCTAGGCTACCTCAGAGGAGGCGGGCCAGTGAGAGGCGGGGTCTGGGCAGGCCACCTCAGAGGAGGCGGGCCAGGGAGAGGTGGGGTCTGGGCTAGGCTACCTCAGAGGAGGCGGGCCAGTGAGAGGAGGGGTCTGGGAGGCGGGGTTTAGAAGGCGCGCTCTGGGAAGGCGCGCCGCCGGGGAGGCGCGCTCCGAGTAGGCGCTGGGCGGGGTGGCGGGGAGGCGCTAAGCGCGCTCAGGGCGATACTGCAGAGAACGCTTGCGAGATGGGCGGGGCAGGTCTGAGACTGGCTGCTCAGGGCTGCAGAGTATCTGCGCGCCTCTCCCAGGATCCCCCCTCCCAAAACCCCTCCCACCGCCCTCCAACAGCCAGATTCATTTCATGCAGCAGGAGCAATCACCCCCAGATCCAATCCCCCCCCCATACTCAGCAAACCGACAGTTTCCACAAACTGTTGCTGGACGCCAATTCGCGCCAGCGCAACTACATCGCCACCTCAATCCGCACAACTAGGGAGGCAGCCAGCTCTGCCATCACCAAAAGATTCCCTTTTCCACTCAAGTTAGCGCCCTTCCACTCCACTGCTATAAGCAGGAATGGTGTGGGCAGAATGTTAAACATTAATTTTTACCAGAGGCTCCATTTTGTCTAACAGCACCATCATGCCAAGCACAATCCTGCAGAAAAATACAGTGGGAGCCATTCCAAAAGGTGAAAGGGTGGGGTCCCCCTCTAAGAAAACAGAGTAATAGTACTCTGCTGTTCATGGTCCCTTGATCTCTGGTTTATTTGAGGCGCAAAACAGTGTGCAGCTCATGTACCTCTGCAGCTGTTATCACTTTGTAGCGCCTTTTAGGTGTAAATTGTTCCGCAGCTCTTGTACCTCTGCGGTTCATGTGCCTTGTCGCGCAATGAAGCGCTGTTGTACAGCTAATCGTTATCATTTTTATAGCGCTTTTGTAGCGCTAATCTTCTGCAGCTCAGATTTTGTAGCGCATTTAAAGCGCAAATCAGCCTTCATTCTGCAGCAGACATCGCTGCAGTTCATAATGGCTTGTAGCGCAACTGAAGCGCCTATCAGTCTGTAGCGCATGAAGCGCCCATCAGTTAGCGCATGAAGCGCCCATCAGTTTGTTAGCGCATGAAGCGCCTATCAGTCTGTAGCGCATGAAGCGCTCAGTTTGTAGCGCATGAAGCGCCCATCAGTTGGTTAGCGCATGAAGCGCTCAGTTTGTAGCGCATGAAGCGCCCATCAGTTGGTTAGCGCATGAAGCGTCCATCAGTTTGTAGCGCATGAAGCGCTTATCAATCAGTTTTTAGCGCATGAAGCGCTTATCAGTTTGTAGTGAGCCACACTGGGTAGCGCATTTGAAGAGCAAACTGCAAATAGGTCTGTAGCTCATGTCCGTCTGCAGCTCATTACCGTCCGCAGCTCATATCTGTCTACAGCCCGTCTCGGGACTTGGATCCTGGAAACCAAAGCCCGTGAAGGACTGGTTTCCCCACTCTGTTTTGGGGCACAGCCAGTGAAGGCGTGACAAGGTTTGCAGGAGACATTCTGGGGCGCTACTCCGTCTCCTGCAGCTCCCGATAAGAACGGGGAATGAATGTGATCTTAAAAAAAAAAAAATCCTCACCGCATACTCACCACGCGAGGACTCCTCTGCGAAGGCAGGATGGACGAGGTCCCACACCTGAGCCAGGCGTGGGGTCCACTGGGTGCTCCGCAGCCCGGAGTGGATCCGGACGCGAGCCCGCTCAGCGGACCTCTCGGAGGCTCGGTGGACCTTCTCCGCTCTTCCCAGGTCGTGGTCAGGTTTCTTCGACACACACCAACCGAAGTTGAGGCGCGTGTACCGGGAGCGGAGACGGCGAGCCTTATATAGGCTGAACAGAGCAGGGGGGCGCCAAATCCCAGCGTGCTCCGCGGGCTGGGGGGCGGAGGGGAGTGCGGGGGCGGAGGGGCTGGGGGGATGGGGGTGGGGGCGACGGCTCGCTACAGCGGCCCGCCGCTAGGGGGCGCACGGGATTAAGGAGGGGGTGCAGGATGCTGATGCTGAACTGGCCAAGCTGGGAGGAAAGAAAGGGAGGGGAGGGGAGAATCGAGGACTGCCGGCCTAGCCAGGCCAAGAATGCAATTGCCCCGGTGGTGGGAGCTGGGAGACCCCTGTGCTTGGACTGGACAGGGTCGGGGGACACGCAGGATGAGCCCCGCAACCACTGGCACATTCTTGCTGACAGGTTAGTGGCCTGCGCGCGACGTGGAGGTCCTGGGGCCCACAGGCCTCCGCCTCCCCATCCCCCACTCGGGTTCCGGGCACGCGGGCGCGCCCTTTGGGTGCGAGCCCCTCTTGCTGCCTTGGGCCCCACTGCACCCCCTTCTTCAGGACTCCCTGAACCCCTTTTCCTGGGCCCAGGGCGTCCCTCCCCAGGCTTGACCCCTGGCCTTTTCTTTTTCTCGGCGCCCCCGCGCGCCCCTCCCTGCTCAGCGGGCGCCCAAATTCCATCTTTAATTTCCATTCCTAGCCCCCTCTTTCCCCTGTCCCCTCTTTTTCCTGAGCCCTGCAGCACAGAGGTAGGGGTCATGGCCCATTTTTCTGGGGGGCCGTTAGTTACCTCACGATTGGGGCTGTGCGGCCCGGATGCTAGCCAAAGGAAATGGGTGTCAAGCTGCGTCCACCTCTACACAATTATCTTTTCTCCTTCTCTTGAATCTGATGGAGAGAAAACACTAAAATGTGATATTTAAAACGTCTAATTTCCCCTTCTTCCTAAGCGCATTTCTCGGTGGCGGAAATGCCATTTTTCTTAGGTTTTATGGAGCAGGGAAGCGGAATCACGAAATGCTGGGAGCCAAACAGGACGTTCAGGTCAGGGTTAAAACCCCGACTAGGGGCCAGAGATGCTGCAAACAGCACCATTTGCCCCACGAAGCGCGCTATTTCCCGAAAGCAAAAAACAATTAAAAACAGCTGTGGATGCTTCCAAGCGTGCTTGGCGGGCTTCGGAAGCAAGCTCGCAGCTACGGACTCGTGATGATAATTGCGAGGCTACCGCAGACCTCGCTCTCCCTGCAATGTTTTACATTTTCCTAAGTCTTGCAGGGTGAATGAATGTGTTTAGTCACGGTAACCGCAAATGTAATTCTTTCAAGCGAGTCACCGAGATTCGGCCACAAATATTTGTGTGAATTTATACATACAACCATATATGTTTTACGTTAGGGGAAATTGCACTGGGTTACAAGACTCTAAAATACAGATGAGGAAGGATGCTAAATAAAACCTAACCCGCGCGTATCCCTATCTAAGTCCCTCTCGGTGTTAGGCGCTTAGGAAACTGACAATCTGTTGATTATCTTAGTAAAAGAACTTAGAGTTAAAAGGGAAAACCAAATTGTCTATAGCTGAGTTAGATTTCTGACACGCGGGTGAAACACATTCGGATTTAAAGACTGAAATGGAGCACATTTTAGTAACATTGCTACAGATTATTTTATACATAAAGGACAAATAAGATTTTGATTTATTGTACATAACGAGGTGGCAGGGACAACACTTAAAAAGCAGGCGTTTCTAGGAATAAACAAAACTGTAGCCCATTTACTGAGATTTTACTTTTTATTAGAAATAAATGTTGACCATTAAGCAATATGAATGCATGAAGTGCAGACTTCCAACAATGAAAAGACATTTTTCTAGTAACTTGGGTGAACATAATTTATACTTTTTAGAAGTTTCTTTTAATATTTAGGATGTTCACCCTCTTCTGCAAGATAGAATAATTCCAGGGTTTCTTATGCGTGGTAGAGTACTGTTCTGGTGGTCGGTGACTGTCAAATACTTAGTAGTTTTTTTTAATCCATAAGTTAATTCATGTAGCTAACTGATAGACATTATTTTTCTAAAAAGCGATTTTAAAAACCAGCATAGATGAGAAGTAAGAGAAATTTAAGTTTAAAAATCTAAGTCAAGACTTTCAAAGTTTGAACAAGTTTGAACAAATTTGATTTTTTATTTCAAAATGTTAATCAGGATTTTTTGTTTTAAAAAAAAGCTTTATTAGTATTTTTATCGTAACAAAAGTAATTCCTAGTCATTGTACAAAATTCAGGGGAAAAAACTCCGGAAAATTGTAAAGACGACGGTCAAGATCACCTGTAACCTCTTTACCCCGTGTAATGATGCAAGTAAACATTATAGAGTGATTTTTCAGCCTTTCCCTGTGCATATATAGGTATCTAATATATATTTTTCATAGAGTTGCATGTATATACTGTCTAAAAATTTAAAATAGGATCAAATTCTCCTCAATTATTTTCTTTCCAAATAGCCTTTAAAATGTCAGATAACATTATATTTGCAGGGCTTTCTTTAAAGGAAATCATGTTAATTAATTTTTCTTACTAAAATTTTAAATGAGCAACCTTAGTTCATAAACATTTAAAGCCAGAAAACTGAGAAGAATTTTGTCTGGTCTAACATACACGTAGTTATCATTTTGGTGTATTTGCTTGTACTTTTAATTCCTCTACATATGAAAAAATTTTCACTTTGCTTAGAAATATAATTTTCTGAGGGAAAAAAGCCAACATCAATAGATAAGTAGTTTAGATAAAACTGTTTTGTTCTCTAAAACAACAAAACAATATTAAAAATAAAAAGACAACATGAATAGAAAATATTTTAGATAACATTTTTGTGTTATCTAAAACAACATGAACAACTTAAAAAACCCAAAACAAGAAAGCAAAATTAATTGACAAGAACTTTAAACATTTTTTTGACATTTAATACCTAAGTGAATTTTGGATTTTCTCAGATGTTTGTTCCCGATGTTGACTATTTCTTACCCGTTTTGCACAATGTTGTGTGCAAAGCAAAAGAGGTGTTAATGTGCATTATGTCTCAAATAATAACTGGATTTTGCACTTGGACATATTATCTATTTTATGGGAGTTTGCTGTGGATCTATGAAGCTGTTGATTTACCACCTATATTTAAGTACCGGCATGGTGGGAAAATTGTATTTTAAAACAAAGTGGGATTTTCACTTGTCAAATAATAACTACACTTTCTATTTGGACATTTTACCTATTTTATGACAATTTGCCATATATGAAGCTGTGGAATTTACCTCATGTGTTTAGCTTAAGTTCTATGATGGTCAAAAAATTGTGTTTCAAAACGAACTGGAATTTTCACGTCAAATAATAATTATACTTTGGACATTTTGTCCATTTTTAATGACAATTTGATATGGACCTGTGAACCTGCTGATTTGCCACATGTATTTGGCTTAATTTCTAGTATGATAGGGAAAATTCATTTCTAAGCAAAGTAAAATTTTCAGTTGCCAGATAATAACTGCACTTTCTATTTGGACATTTTCCTCATTTTTAATGAAAATTTGCTATGACTTTATGAACCTGCTGATTTACCACCCGTATTTGGCTTAATTTCTAGTATATCAGGGAGAATGTATTTCTAAGCAAAGTAGAATTTTCAGTTGTCATATAGTAACTGGACTTTATGTTGATCATTTTACCCATTTTTATAAGTTTGCCTTAAATCTAAAAGCTGTTGATTTACCTCATGTATTTTTTTTAACTTCTGGTTTAGTGGACAAATTGTATTTTTAAACAAAGTGGAATTTTTACTTGTCTCACAGACATTGAAAATAGCAAAGGACGGCACTAGAAAAAATTGGTTAGAGACAACCTCAGAGAGATAAAGATAATATGTATCTGGTTTCTAATATTAGTTTTCCACTGATGAAAATCATGCTTTAAACAAAATACTGAAGCAGGGAAGAAATCCTGACTTGTTCAAAAATTCTCAATTCAAATATTCAGATTGTTTGTGCTTCTAATAAGTACAGTATTTACAGATCTCATTTTCTCCAAAATAAACCGGCTACCTTGTTTCTTTTTCTTTTTTTACTAATTGTCCATACTTATTCTACCTGATTCCTTTCTGAAAATTTACCTTTCCATGTTCTCTGTTCTGAATACCTAAATGTATATTCTAATACTTATCTTATTTCCTCCTCTTATTGTAAAAAATGACCAGAGGGGAATAGATGATATGGCTTTATGTGTCCGTTAGAGATTCTTGGGCTGGAAGTAAGAGATCCTTTACACTTTGCTCTGGTTTAGTCTAGAGCTTCACAGAAATATCAGCATGATGACTTTTCTTTCCATCTTTTCCCAACCTCTCCAGCAGAGACAGACAGACAGACAGACATGAGAGACATAAATGGACACACAAACACACACATACAGACAGACTTTATTCAGGCTTTTTTCTAAACTTTAGGATCCAATTCTCCAGTCTGCTATATTCCTGATTTCCAGAAATATTAAGCCTAAAGCAGCAATGCAAAATTAAAAAAAAAAATCAGAATCTAGTGTTTCTAGGGATCAACAAGTCTTTTCAAATAAATATGTTTTGAATCGGGTTTTCAGGTTGGTAGGATCAGACAGAATCTCAATGCTCTTAAAGCTATTTCACATGGCTTGCTGCTAAGCCAAATTCTCTCTGCTTATTTCCCAGTGTTTTAAATTTTTTAAACAATGTAACTGTATTAAAGACAGTATAGAGTGAAAAACAAACCCCCAAACAATCTCCATAGCCTGACATTAGAACAAACATTTCCACTGATGCTTCTTCCCTTCTAGTTTTTGTTCTGTGTGCATACATATTTTTATAGAACTATCATTTTAATATGTATAGATTTTTTTTTTACAGTTTGTTTAGAAAGATAAGTGAATCTCGCTTTCAGCAAAACATTTGTCAAGGCTGCAGGATGCTCTTGTGTGTGCGATGGTATATAGACTAATTAGCAGGATTGCTGTGTGAGCGGGAAGCAGGCTGAACAAGTACCGGCCAGGTGCGTGAGCTGCTGGGTTT